CAGACCCTGAAGTCGGGTGATTAACTGAGCTACCCAGGTGCCCCTTTTTGTGTGTATTTTTAAGGGATGAATATATTTACTTATCAGAACAATAATAAAAGTCATAACAGTGTGTTTATCATAAAGCCCTTGCTAAGTTTTATTGTTTTATCTGGCTTTTCTTTTTTAGGAACTTGAGAGATTTCAGAACTTTGTAAAATGCTGTCCTCCTTTTGATATCGTCATCGATGGGCTCAATGTTGCCAAAACATTTCCTAAAGCTCGTGAATCTCAAGTTGTAAGTACAAGTTTTATTTTGTTATTCCAAATCTCTAGAAATATTTAGTGTACTTATTTGTGATCTTCCTTGGATGTGTTAACTCCCCATTTTTCCTTCCTCTAAAAATAAGCTCCGAAAGGTGTCACAGTAACCAACCACTTATCTAAGATTCACTGTTTTCATCTCTGGCAACAAAGTGACTCTTATAGGCCAAGAGTGATTAAAAAGCCATGTAGTAGAGGGCCATTTCAGCCCTTTTTCTTTCTTTCTTTCTTTCTTTCTTTCTTTCTTTCTTTCTTTCTTTCTTTTCTTTCTTTCTTTCTTTCTTTCTTTTTTAAAAAATTTTTTAAATGTTTATTTTTGAGAGAGAGAGACAGAAAGGGAGAGAGCACAAGTGGGGGAGGGGCTGAGAGAGAGGAAGACACAGCAGGCTCCAGGCTCCCAAGTTGCCAGCACAGAGCCCAAGGTGGGACTCGAACTCATGAACTGCAAGATCATGACCTGAGCCGAAGTCAGACACTTAACCAACTGCACCACCCAGGTGCCCTCAGCCTTTTTACTTATATAACCTTTAACTAACCTTCTTCTACATCTCTACTCTTTCTTTGGGGTTACTCTGTCATTTCCCTGTGAGTCACATTCCTCTATTTGAAAATTTTCAACATAAACTAAGAGATGTTAATATACCCATACTTGTTTTTTCCAAACATAGTATGTTCATAAATGAATCTAACCAGCTCTTTTTTTTTGTAAGGTAATCATTTGTTCTATAAGTTTATAAGTGTCCTGTAGTTTCTAATAGGAATATCATGATTTTTAATAGCAGTTATATAAAATTTTACATATAATTTATGGCAATTTTTATTGCTCATTTTTATAGATTAGAATACTAGAAAAGTGAAGCCAATTTTGTATAGTAAATCTGTAGAAAGCAGTCATAACATCAGAATTAAATTGTAGACAGCTCCTGGATTTCAAGCTTGTGGTTCTTACTGCTGGCAATCTATGGCCATTCATCTGTAGTTAATCTGTGTTATTTCTTAAAAATTACTGCCAATTTAAAAGCTTTTTCTCAGAGATGCGACTAGTTCCTTTTGGCCATTTATACTCAGAAAAGCTTACAAGTACCAAGGACGAGGTTGATTTACAGAAATTTCTTTATGTGTCTATCCTTTATGCCTACATTTTTATGGTCAAGTATGTACTTTTCAATCCTTTATTTTTAAAAAACACAAAAGCAAGTTGAAAATATTTTTGTCCTTTAGGTACTTGAAGGGTTATTTGAGGCAGCAATATTGAAAAGGGCAAAGCCAGAAAATGAAGCATAAAATTACTATCACTAGTACATGGTGGAGCTCAAAATCAGAACTTCCTCAGCTAATCTGTGTAAAGTTTTGTATTTGTTTACCTTTTATTTGACATTCAGCTTCACACAAAGCAGTAAAAAATGGCTTGCCAGAAATATATAGCCCAAACTGGGTGAACATTTTTGGGGAAAGTAACACATTGAAAATGCTGTAGTGGATACATCCCCTAGTATTATAGGAGATTTTTTTTTTTAACATTTATTTATTTTTGAGACAGAGAGAGACAGAGCATGCACAGGGGAGAGGCAGAGAGAGAGGGAGACACAGAATCTGAAACAGGCTCCAGGCTCTGAGCTGTCAGCACAGAGCCCGACACGGGGCTCGAACTCACGGACCACAAGATCATGACCTGAGCCGAAGTTGGACGCTTAACCGACCGAGCCACCCAGGTGCCCCTATAGGAGAAAATTTTTTACATTTGGAAAGATCTTAGCAGATTTTGGCAAACCAAGAGGCAAGGAACAAAGATTAACCTGTGAAATCATAGGCAGCTGCCACCACTTTTAGCTTTCACTCTTAAAATAATTTAATGTTAACAACACTTTATGTGGACAGGTAACTGTTATTACTCAGCTCGTAAAAGCACTCTTATCTTGTAGCAGTACATTGGTATTATATTTGGGAAACTGCAGCTCAGAGGCTCTCAGCTTAGAGATGCCACCTGAATAAGGAAAAAGGAAAAAATTTCCTTCTCAAGTTTTTTCTCAAATCTCCGAATCTAGAGATTTATATTTAAAAAAATACAGATATATCATATTTCTCATAGGCCTCTCCCCCCTTTTTGATATTTATATCTATTAGGACCCTCTTGTGGGTTTAGGTTTATTTTACCTTTAGAATGTGAACTAAAGCTTCCCAGTTTTTCTGTTAACCTTGTAAATAGAATTTTAGCTTAGAAGTTAAGAATAAGGATTCCGGAGTCAGACTTTTTGAATTCTAGTTCTGGTTCTTCCACTTTCAGTAGCTTTCATGGTTTGAACAAATTAACCTCTCTGTGCCTTAGTTTCCCAGTGTGTAAAATGGAGATAATAATAGTACCTATCTTACAAAGATGTTATAAAGAATAAATGAGTTAATATATGTAAGCATTTGGCACATTGTAAGTATCTAATAGGTGTAACTATTATTGTGATTACTATTCAGATTGATTTCCTATCTGGAACCGTAATTCTTGCTTTCAGTAGACCCTTATTTGGCAGTTTTTTTCCGTCGTATCATCTATGTAAATAGAATTAAAATACAAAACTCTGCCTTAGTATTAGACTGAATCTAGGTCAGGTATTCAAGTAATAATTGAGAATTGAAGGCAGTACTACCAAAAACTTAAGAAAAATTTTAAATGCAATGATGTTTTTAAAAATGTTTTTACGTTTATTTTTGAGAGAGAGCGAGCGAGAGCAAGTGGGGGAAGGGCAGAGAGACGGAGACAGAGGATCCAAAGCGGGCTCTGTGCTGACAGCAGATACCCCAATGCGGGGCTGGAACTCAAGAACCACAAGATCATGACCTGAGCCTAAGTTAGATGCTTAACCTACTGAGCCACCCAGGCGCCCCTAATGTGATGATTTTAAGAAATTTTAGTTTCCTCTGATTATAAAAGTAATGCATGTAGAAAATTTGGAAATTACAGTAAATAAAATTATATATAGCCCTATCATTCAACAATAATCATTGTCAGTGTTTATTTCCTTGCAGTGTTTTTCCATTTTCTTACCTAATTGAGCTTCAACTGTGTAATGACTATATATCTGCATTTTAATTCACAGTTGTTGAAAGCTCTCAATAAAAACGAAATTCTAAAAGGTGTAGAAGTACCCATTTAAAAATATTTGAGGGGTGTCTTGGTGGCTCAGTTGGTTAAGCATCTAACTCTTGATTTTGGCTCAGGTCATGATTTCGCAGTTCTTGAGATCAAGCCCTGCTTCGGGCTCTGCACTGACAGCACAGAGAGACTGCTTGGGATTCTCTCTCTCCCTTTCTGTCTGCCCCTCCCTCGCTCATGTACATACTTTCTCAAAACTCTCAAATAAATAAACTTAAATAAACAGTTAAAAAAATAAAATATTTGAGATGGAAGCACCTTAAAAGAGCACATAAAAAGGGGTACCTGGGTGGCTCAGTCTGTTAAGCCTCTGACTCTTGATTTTGGCTCAGGTCATGATCTCCAGAGAACTCTTAATGACATTGAAGAATTACCTTCCTGAATGGCACCCCCAAGGGATGGGTATAAGATTAAATGACCTTTTAAGGTAATGACCCTTTAGAAAGTTTAATCTTGATTCAGGGGCCAAATCTAGACAAGCAAGTCATTTTGGAGAAAATAAAATAGCTGAATCCAGCTAGCAAACTGAATATTTAGTGAACTACCCTTTAAAAAAATTTTTTTTAATTAAAAAAAATTTTTTTCCTCATGATAAGTGCACCCCTTAATTCCCATTACCTATTTCACCTACCCACTCCCTCTTCCCCTCTGGTAAATCCATCAATTTGTTCCCTGTAGTTAAGAGTCTGTATCTTGGTTTGTCTTTCTCTTTTTCCCTCTGCTCATTTGTTTTGTTTTGTTTCTTAAACTCCACAAATGAGTGAAATCATGGTATTTGTCTTTATCTCTATTTTCTTTTTTTTAATGCAAAATTTTTTTAATGTTTACTTTTGAGAGAGAGAGAGAGAAAGAGAGAGAGCATGAGCAGGGGAGGGGAAAAGAGAGAGATACAGAGGATCTGAAACAGACTCCATGCTTGACAGTGGAGAGCCCAATGTGGGGCTCAAACGCACAAACTGTGTGATCATGACCTGAGCCAAAGTCCGACACTTAATTCACTGAGCCACCCAGGTGCCCTGGTGTTTGTCTTTTTCTGACTTATTTCATTTTCACATTATACTCTCTAGCTCTGTCCATGCTGTTGAAAAGGGCCAAATTTCATTCTTTTTTTGGCTAAATGATATTTCATTTTATATATATATATATATATATATATACCATTTCTTTTTTATCCATTCATCTGTCGATGGACACTTGTGCTGCTTCCGTTGTTTGACTATTGTAAATAATGCCGCGGTAAACATAGGGGTGTATGTATCCTTTTGAATTAGTGTTTTTTTGTATTTTTTGGGTAAGTACCCAGTAGTGCAATTACTGGATTACAGGGTAGTTTTTACTTTAATTTTTTGAGGAACTTCCATACTGTTTTCCACAATGACTGCACCAGTTTGCGTTCCCGTCAACAGTGTGAGAGTCTTCCTTTTTCTCCACATTCTCGTCAACACTTGCTGTTTCTTGTGTTTTTTATTTTAACCATTCTCACAGGTGTGAGGAAATATCTCATGTAACTTGATTTGCATTTCCCTGATGATGACTGATGTTGATCATCTTGTCATGTGTCTGCTGGCCATCTAGATGTCTTTTTTTTTGAATGTTTATTTATTTTGAGAGAGAGAGTGCACGAGCAGGGGAGAGGCAGAGAGAGAGGGAAAGAGAAAATCCCAAGCAAACTCCACTCTCAGTGTGGAGCCCAAAGTGCAGCTCAATCTCAACAACCATGAGATCATGACTTAGCTGAAATCAAGAGTCCAATGCTTAACTGACTGAACCACCCAGGCTCCCCTGGATGTCTTCTTTGGAGAAATGTTTGTTCATGTCTTCTGCTCATT